CAAGAGAGATTGAAGATCCCTCGCCGGCCGGGTCTCGCTGAGCTATGCCACTCCCTTTGACCGGATCTCTTCCAACTGCTACTCCATAAAGAAAGACTGAGGAAGTTGTTGCTGCCTCATGTGCAGTCTAGCCAATGCTAACCCATTTTTATTTAAATGACAGCCTCGTCGTTAAATCGCATGCCCAGAAGCGGGACAGGGAGCAGCGACCAATGGGCGCGAAGTAACAGCCGCTCTCGGCCAATCGGCTCCCAACGACGGTGGCGAGTAAATGTTGCTGGGCTCGGAGGAGGAACAACGTCCGGAGTGGCACGAGGCTCCCTTAATCACGTCAGGACAGGGCGTTTGAACTATCCAATGAAACGATCGAAGGAACGAACCCTATAAAAGAAGCCGCCAGCGCCGAGTGGTTATTGCAGTCGTAGCCGGCAGGAGTTGTGCGCGGAAATATCACCTTCCGCTGGCCTCGTATCCGGGCGATTTCCTCCAAGTTCTTCCTCGTCATGACCACCACCACCACTTACACGGGGATGGACCCCAGTGGCCGAAGTAGCTCCAGGTTCGTGGGTGGGAAAGGGTCTTGTCCGCAAGAAGTTGCTTGTCCGTTCGCTGTCCCTGACGCCGGGGCTGCCTTCGCCCGAGATGCCCCGTTTTCTCCGGGAAGGGACCGTGCGGCGAAACGCCCCGGCTTTCGGGGAGGCGCGCCGTGCTGGCTCCACGGATTCCCGGCTCAGCGCCGGGAGAGACGCGGAGAAGAAATCCGCCTCCCGCCAACCCTGGGTGGAATTTCTTCTCCTGCAGGGAAGGGGGCTCCCTTTCTTGGGATCGGGGGCCTGCGGATAACACTTCCCACCGCCCGCCTCTGCTCCACTGGTCGGCGGAGAGGAGGCGAAAGGCCGGGGTGGGTGGGTGGGTGCTATTGTCACCCCGGCGCTCCCGCCTTGCCGGCACACGCCCGTCGCCTCCATCTGTTGAGTCGGCGAGACGAGAGCAGCCGAGTCTCCTTGTTATCCGCCTGGAAGGCGGGCAGGCGAGGTGTCAGCTGCGCCCCGCTTCGGTCTAGGCCTTGGCACCCCGCCGATCCGGTGGCTTTCTCGCCCCTTTGTAGGTTTCGGGAGCGGGGCCTGGCGGGGAAAGAAAGAAACCTGTAGCAGCGGACTTCGCCTTTTCCGCCGCCTGCTCTGGGGCTCTCGGGAGGTCTGGTTGTGCCTGCGTCACATCTTTCTGGCTTTCCTTCAGCTTAGCGACACGGCTGCGGGGTCATGGCAAGTCTAAGCGATGTTCCTCAGCACGGAGCGCCCTTCGGCTCCGGTCGGAACAAAGGAGCCTCTTACTCCTGGTAGTTGAATTAGAGGCTTTCAACCCTTTTCTCTCTCTCAGCCCCGGCACGGTTATCGGCTTATCCTTTTTTTGTCTTGCTGTTCAATGGCTTAGTCTGGCTAGGCTTCCTCTACTAAGTGGTTCTTCTCGCTGGGTGGGGCTAGCCACACTTCTTTTGTCTTGCATCTATCGCGGCCTCTCTCTACCTGTTAACTCAAGCCTTCGGGGCCGGGATTAGCAACTTCCAAGCAGTCTTTGAAAAGCTGCTTCCTCCTCGGCTCCAACTTCTGCCAGTCAGAACAGGGATAGGTACTACTTCAAGCAAGGCCGGTTAGTAGGAGTAGAAGTGGGGGGGGAGGTGAACTGAGCTTATTGTGTAAAGGGATTGGAGTTGAAATACAATCGGGGCCCCCAGTGGTGTTTATATTCTCTTCATGCAGCGTAAGCTTGCTACAGTGTACGTGTTGCAATGGTTGCCCTTGGGATTGTGGGAGAGTTGTGTGAATGTTTCAATTTGTGGGTTTTGGTTTTTTTTTTAGTTAGCCAAGGAATGACTTGTTCTGGAACAAAGAAAGGTTGAAATATGTTTGAGTTCCCTGTTACAGTAGTGTGCAACAAAGAATCGTGGATATAATAGTAAGCGTAATTATGCCAAGTGGCTGTAGCCTGAAGAAATGACACATCAAGTTTCCATAAAGAATTGCCTTGAAATTATTATACTGTCCCAAAGGTCATAATTATATTACAAAGGTGAAGAACCTTTGTCCAGATGCGGAGCAGTAACAATTATAATTGGCATGGAAAATGGTCAGAAATGGTGAGAATAATGATTTGGGAGGGATAACTAGATATTAGAGATTTTCCCATACTGATTCCTGAGTAGGGAGAAATGTTTGTTCAAATTTCCCATATGTATTTGTAGGGCTGTCCATGTCCAATGGCAATCAGAATGGAGCTGGAAGAGACCTTGAATTTCTTCTAGTAGCTCATGCAGGAGACCCTATACCTTTCAGACTGGCTGCCCAGTCTTTTCATTAAAACCTCCTGTGATGAAGCACCTAAAGCTTCTGAACACAAGCTGTCCCACTGGTTAATTGTCCTCACTGTTAGGAAGTTCCTCCTTAATTCCAGATTGCTTCTTTCCTTGATTAGTTTCCATCATTTCTTATCTTGCCTTCTGGTGCTTTAGAAAATAAAATGACCCCATCTTCTTTGTGGCAGCCCCTCAGATACTGGAATACTGCTATCATGTCACCCCTGGTCCTTCTTTTCTCCAGACTGGCCATACCCAATTCTTGCAACTGTTATTCATATGTTTTTGTCTCCGGACCCTTAATCATCCTAGTTTCTCTTTTTGCACTTTTCCCAAAGTCTGCAGTCTTCAGACACTGCCAAAAATCTGAAGCATCTGTTTTTAGGTATTTTGGATAGTGAATCAAACTATTGTGTGATGCCAAGCATACCCCCAATATGGTTGGTATTAAGATTACATTGAAATGAAACTAGAAAATTGTAATAAATGTTCTCATAAATGGGATCTTGTAAATTGTGTGTTCAAATATTTATGGTCCTACTTGGTTTTTGAAAAATGATAGGCCTCTTATCTATTGTGCTTCTATCATATTGGAGCTAAGCGAAGCAATAATTGGGTGAAAAGAAATTGGGTGACAAATAGGATAAAAACAGCTCTATACAACAAAGTCAGAAAATATTTTATTTCTACTATGCTTTCCTACATTTTCACATATGTGAACATAGGCATATAATGTGAGCAAATAGGCACACACATCAATTGTAGATATATGATAAAATCCAATTTTACCATATATCTACAACTGGATAGGGTGAGAATTGTCCATTCTTTGTTCTCTGATTAAGATCTCTTTCTGCTGATAGAAACATCATTCCATTCCATTCTTATAATTAATGCTGTAAAGTAGAAAGTTCTACGGAAACATTTGCAAGACTGAATTGTTATTTAGTAAAATTCAGTCTATAAATGCTGAGTCTGGTGATCATTATTAAGCTAATCAAATCTACTAAAATATATAATTCACAACCTTTTTACAACTTGCAGTTGATATATACCAAGTTTGTATTTTTGCCTCTAGAGTAATAGAGCATAAGGAATAGCCTTCCTATTCCATATATATCTTCTGACTGTATCCAGCCAGTTCCTGCCTTCTTAAATGTTAGAATAAGCTTGCTTTGTAATAGTGCAGCTCATGATCAATCTAAAAGATTTATGTTTGCTATCATGCTTTTTATTACTCAGCTTAAATGTTACCATACGGAAAATGACTACTCCAGTTTTCTTGTCTGTTGTACTCAAAGAATTAGTAAATTATTTTAAAAAGATTCTTATGGTTAAAAAATGAATTACAAACAACCATGGTGATATTGAGTGTTAAAGCAGCTGTTTGCAGCATATACACCTGCTTGAGCCTTACTATAGACTACAATCTATGTAATGGGGGAAAAAAACCCACATACCTCTTACCGTAATGATGCAGGTTTTTGTATGATCCCAGAGATATAATGTTCTGGAGGCCATGGGAATTGAAGGAAGTCTTATAGCATCAAGGGGGCCATTCCATCCCCAATGTAGGGATTCAGTTTATTTTTTCTGTAGATCCCATGCTATAGTTTTTAAATTAAAAACTTTGTGATTGTATAAACAGCCTCATCTGCAAGAAGGAATTGGATATTTTTGTTATCCGAATGGCTAGAGATTGCTGCTAAAAGTGAATATAAAATGCTGGTGCATGCATCTAGAATGTTGAAAGCATGTGAGGGTGAATTGACAAATGGCTACCATTGGCTGTTCACAAAAGGACTGACATAATAGGCATGTCCACTCACAAACATCCACATTTCAGAAGTTGCATTAACCCTATCTCTCAAGATGGTCTCCATCATCCACTAAAGCCATTGTCAGGCCCAAAGCCATTCTTGGACATAATTTTCGTACTCGATGTAGAGCTTTGCTTTACATCATGCCAACTTCTCTGTTTAAAGGGGAAAAATTTAAGATGTAAGTTGATATCGACTGTCTATTAAATACCAAGGAGATGTCTGGGATTTATTGTCTCTTCTTTGTAAGTTGCCTAATAAGCTTCACAACAGAATAATTCTGGAAACACTTATTTGTTTTTAACCAAGCCTTATCTATTGGATCTTGGCTTATCATATCATCTGAAAATAATTAGCAATGTAGGCAATGTCTGTATAGCCCTGTGTTTGTTGGAATTACCTTATAGCTCAATGCCTCAGAAAGAATGTAGGAAGCTGCCCCCTACACCTGGTCCATTTGTCCATCAAGCTCACCCTGCTCGATCTAGGACCAGCAGCAATCTGTTTCTCCCTTTTCATTTTTTCTTTCTCCTTAGTGTTTGTAACCATACATTTTAAACAGTAATTCACTTGGAAAAGTTTATTTGCTGATTTTTTTTTCCAGTTTTCTCTGAAAAAAGTTAGGTTCATAGGCTCTTTCCTTCACAAATGATTGTACATCAGTATTTCAGTCATTTGGTTGGAGCAAAATGGAATTTATGGTTTCTGGCCATATCTTTCTAATACATTGAGAAGCAATCTAAGTTTAAAATGAGTGGTAAACGAATACACCATATTTTGTAATACATATGTAAGTTCTCTCTGGTACTATTGTTTCTTAATACAACTAAAATGCTTTAATCTTTTTCTAGGGTTCTTCGGCCCCCAGGTGGTGGTTCTAATTTCAGCGTAGGATTTGATTTGCCAAAAGACCAGCAAGGAGGAAAAAGGAATAAGATGGCATCTTCCATCTTTGGGACTCCAGAAGAAAATCCACCATCTTGGGCTAAGCCAACAGGTAAAAGGCTCCTTTCTTAAGGCAGATTGTGGATACTTAAACATCTAAATTTGGATTTAGCTCTTCTATTAAAAATAGACACAATATTGCAGATGAGATGGGTTTAAACAACTTGAACTAGTTCAGAGGATTTATATTCCTCCCTTTTATTCCTAACAATCTTGATATTTAATTCAATCAGATGTTGTGGTAGAATTTGGTCTTTTTTCAGTTTTGCTTTCTCCCATCCCAAAAGCTGCTTTGAGGCTTTGGTAAATCTAATGAAGTCATTAATCAGGTTATTCTCTTAGTTTATGATTTGTATTTCCACATTAATTTTCAAAACTTTAACTATCTTCTATCCTATATTCAGCAGAGTCTTTATTTGTATCCTTCTCTTAGCTGTCATTTGTGTTTCCACTTTAGCAACTTTCTTTGTGCAAAAAACCCACACTTGGTTTTTATTATTCACTGATTCTGGCTGTAATATTTCTACATCAGACAAAATTTGTTTCACATCTGTCACTCCTTCATTAATATTTTTTGACCATACTCTGTCCATAGTAGCATCACCACCCCCAGCATTGTAGTTGCTAATTTCTGGCTCCTTTCTTCAATTTCCTGGGGCATTTCAGATGTTATAAGCTAATTTTCCCCCTTATTAGAATGCTTGCCCTTGTTAAAATGTGTTCACATACACTGTTAAATGATAAGTGGCCAAATAGATAAGTTCTCTAATTATGCTTTGCTATACTTGATGTATCTCATCCAATGATAACTTGCAGCCAAGTCCACCAAAGTCGAGGATAATTCTGAAGCGGTTGGATCTGAAAGGAGAGATTCCTCTGATGCAAGCTGTGGTGACTATGTAATTCCAAAGGTAAGCATTGCTTTCCTTTTAATCATGAATATATTGCAGTGGCTAATTATTGTGCCTGGTAGCAAATCCCTTGATCTGTCTTGAATTAATGTATGTTTTTACTATGACTTGAGTTTTAATACTATTATCAACATGATGAGGAATGGAGAATCTTTGGTCATCAGGTGTTGCTGAACTACAACTGTAAGCAGTGCTTCCCATTGACCATACTGGCTTTACTGCTGGGAACTGTAGTTCTGTAAAATCTGGAAGCCACAAGTTGGTCCATCCTTTTTTTACATCAGTTTAGGTGGGGAAGTAAAACGAGAAATCTGTGTTCTGCATGTACTATGCAGCATAACTAAAATGATACACACTTATCAATTTGTGAAAAATGGTTTTAATCTAGGACTCACTCTCCTATTAATACAGGTGACCATTTATACAATAATATCCCCATAATCTATGAAGTCATTTATCACTCCTTGCACTTTTTAATGCTTGCTATATTTTGCTTTAAATAAATGAATAGCTAAACATTAGCAAGAAGAAAAAAAAATGGTTGTGTTTTGGGACTTATTAGGACCTGACTGTGGGGAACAAAAAGTAGAAGCGGTATATTGGTCAGTTAAACATTTCTTTGTATTCTTCTAAAACCATTAATTTTTGATAATGCCATTGTACAACATGCCTCTATAGTGTACATTTAGCAACCTAAATTGATAAACTCATTACAATTGGCAACATGTTTAACGTTCCTCAAATTAGAGTATGTAATTAAGAATTTGAGTTAGGATTGCTATCTGAACATGGGTCTGTTGTCCGATACTATAGCTTTTCTGAAACTAGTGTTCCTTTGGTTATAGCAATTTCCAGTTGTTACAATTTATACATTTTAGTATTTCTGTAAACTCTTCAATTCTTTAATGAATCATCTAACATAAAAGTTTTTAAAAATGCAGACATGATATTCTTCCGATTAAAATCGGAATTCCGATTTTTTGGGGAATCGGGCCCCTCCCCCCCTTCCCCCCCCTCTCCCCCTCCCCCCCCCCCCCCCGGCCCCCCCCGTCCGGAGTTGCTACTGCCGGCGCGGCTCCAGTCCCGCGTTGCCTCGGGAAGGGAAAGGCAAAAAGGAAGAGCCGCGGCGGCGCTTTGCAACGGCAGCAGCGGCACCGGAGGCTCAGGTGCAGCGGCTCCCGGTTTTGCCATTCCCTTCCCGAGGCAACGTGGGACTGGAGCCACGCCGGCGGTAGCAACTCCTGACAGCCCCAGCCTGACACCTGAGCGGAGCCCGGGCGGTGCGAGCGGAGGCCGCTGAGCGGCAGGAAAAGGGAGCTGGGCAGCCACAGACCAGCCGTCTCTCCGTCTGACGGCCTCGGACGAATCTCTGCCTCCCAGCGCGCTTGGTCCTCCGCTCGCAGGCTTCCCCGGCCCCTTGCCAAGCGGGTTTTCCGCCCCAGCCTGGCAGGGCCCTCGCTGCCTTCCCCTCGCCTGGCCGGCCGGGCTCCTTGGGCAACCCAGCTGCCTCGTGCCAAGAAGCGCGCTGCCAGGCGGGGGCCACGCGGCGCAGGGCAACACGCCACTGCCCTGCCCTGGCGAGGGAAAGCAGCGGGCGCTCCCCGGGCGGCGGCCTTGGCCCCGCCACCAGGGAAGTGGCTGCCCAGCTCCGGAGCTGATCCACACCTGACCGGCTGGAAAGGAAGGGTGTGTAGCGTTGGTGTTGTGTGTGCGATTTCTTGGCGCGCGGCGTGGGGTCTCTTTTGGCCGGCCCCGATTATTTTTCAGAGGGGAATATCATGCCTGAAAATGCCATAATTCTCTCCACTATTCTGATGCACTCATCCAGAAACTGAAGGGTAGTTGCCGGAGAGAGAGTGAATATTATCTAAACTGAAACTGTATATAATATATTCTTATTTATACATTTAGACTTTATCCTCTTTCCAGTTCAGTTTTAAATGTTGATTAAATCAAGTCTGTGTATGTTTTATTTAAATCCTATGAAAATGGTTTTATATGCTAATTCGAACTTTCAGCAACACATTATGAAAATGTAATATATAGATTTCTCTCTATTCCTTAAGTTATAAATATTAAATTATTGATGTTAAATGAGACATTTGCTATTCCAGCCTGAGGGCAATACATTAAGATTCCTTGAGTATAGTTACTTGAATGGCCTGACCTAGAATTTTGCTATACAAATCCTATAAGCAGCAAAAGTCTAGTACTGTGTCTCTTGTAATTTTCAGGCAATACACTTGAAAAAATTTGTAAGGGCAGAAGAACTCCCTTCAGGAAATCCTTTCCTGCTACCAGTAGCGGTGATGGTGGTTGCATAGCTATGATGAGCATATCTTTGAATATAGTACAAGTGGTCCTCTTTAGTGTTTCGTTTAGCAACCATTTATAGTTGTGATAATGAAAAAATAACTTTACAATTAATCCTCTCATTTATAAATGAGAAGGTTATAAAGCAAAGGAAAACTGCAGTAAGATCATAATTACAGTTGCAGTTTTACTGAGTGACTGCTTAACAACCAAATTACCAGTCCCTAAATGATTGTCACTAAATGAGGATGACCTGTAATGCACTTAGGGAGTGATTGAATGATCCACTGATTCCGAATAGCCTTGGTTGCCCTCAAACAATTGACTGCTAAGAAGACCAAAGCGTAAATTGTACCAAAGCCCAAAGGACAAGTTATCTAAGCGTCAGCATTCAGAAATACTTATTCTGTAAATATAAGCAGTTTTCCTGTCTGGCGCAAATTTTAGAATTAGTCGTCTTAAGATTGAAAAATATATGTCCATTTTAGGTTGTATCTATAGAACCTCTAACTGTGCTTTTGGTGCTGTGTTAAAAATTAAGGCATTCAACTGTAAACAATCTCTTTGAGAATTAATAGTTACAAAATTTAAGATATAATTTGTTTTGTTTGCAGGGTGTGGAAAGTGAGGCTCCTGGTAAGTATCTTCTCCCCCGCCCCCCCCCTTGCTTCTAAGCTTTTTAAAAGTTCTTCCCAGCTTGAAGAAGTATCACTGACTGAATGCAAGAACTGTAGGGGAGGCTGAAAGAATAAATTTATTAAGACAGTCTGGAAAGAACGCTAAAAGATTGGTGTTGCCACGTTGCAGTGCTGCCTGTCAGCTCTGTGGCCTCTTGGTCTTTTACTAGGTAGAAATAAAAGATTTGGAGAAATACAATAGGTTATTTGCATATTTTAAAATGTACTAAGTATTGGAATCCTTCTTACAAAAAGGAACCATTGGGGAGTTTAATAAACTATGTTTAGATTAATCCTGCAATGCTTCCAGTAGTAGAATAGCAGAATATATAGTCTGATCACAGTGGGAAAGGATGGTAGGCTACACTAAATGCAAAGCAGCACAGCCATTTTTATGACAAAGTAGACAGAATGGAATTAGCCCAGTTTTCTATCAAGCAGAACATCTATTTATGAAGTGTAATGACTTAGGCACTTGGGAGCTTTATCAGATGTGAAATAGCACACCTTTCCTCCGCCCTGCAGTTATCATTACTCACTTAGTCCCCCTACAGGCCTAATCTTAGTTTTTATATGTATGAATGCCTTTCCAAAATGACTGATCTTCAAAATTCCAGCAGAGAGATTTGGCCAGTTTCTCTTGTCTCATTCAAACCAAACACACTTGACATAGTTTTTATGATCCGAAATCAAAATATTTCTTACAAAGCTGTATATAACCTGGCATATTGATCATTTTTTAAATCAAGGTTAAAAGGGCAACCTCACTTGGTTATAAATGTGTAGGATCAAATTCATTGTATGAAATACTTCATCTCAATATTAATTTCATAGACAGTTACAATTCAAGAATGTGATTTTAAGTGCTGTAGGGAGGATAGTTCTATATCATTGACTACTAAGCTGATGGTAGAATGGAGAACATTTGAACGTTTTTTCAGTCAATATATGGTCAGGGAAGTGCTAGGAAGATGGACTGACCATCTGCTTAACCTGAAAGGAATAGTATTGTAATGTGTGCTAGATTCCAGAAGAGATTACTACTTGAAGAATCTTCCTTAGAGATGACATTAGCAGTGGTCAGATGTTATTTTGCCCTCATAGCTGAGGAGTTTCAAATATTTACCATGTTT